GGCCACACACTGCATATGGAGGAACAGCCTCTGCAGCACATGCTGGGCAAAGAACCCTCTTTTCCACCCCTTTTTTGATATAATTTACCTGGCTCATCTCTATTACTGGGAATAGAAACCACATATAAATGTCAGCACAATGCAGCTGGGTTTTTGAGACAAAGTAATTCAGCAGCAGGTGGAAGAGTGAATCCACACAAAGGCAAAAGGCTTGCTGAGGAGATGGCTGAGCTTTGCTGGCAAGAGTCAGTGCCCCAAAGATGGGGATGCAAACACCTCTCTGCATGTTTGATGCTTGGAGGACACAGACAGTTGTCTGAAGCTGCACACCCCACCTGAGCTGGTCTCAGGCTCCTGTACATTTTTAAAGGCTAAAATACATAAGCAGGTGCCTTAGTAGAAATTTCATATTTGGAGGTATTTTCTGAGGGAAAAATACCCTGTTGAAAACAACAATCACTATAGAAAGTGACACTGAGAAAAGGCCAGTGGTCTCTGGCTATCTGGCAAAGAGAGACAAGCAGATGTCTCCAACAGGAATAAGCTCTGCCTGGATAAAAACCAAGACTACTACAAGGAGAATATTTTCTGGAAACTGTATCTTTAATTAATGAGATCTGCCCCATCAATTGTTCTGATCCCAGATCTCTCCAGAGATTTGTGCATTTCCTTACTTCTGCTCTGGGCTCTCAGGTGCTAGGCCAGAAACACCCATCCATCCCATCATCAGCTTGCCACATGCATCAGGCATCACCCCAGCCTTCGTTGCTTTTTTGCTTAAACACTTTAGAGAGATTTTGTCTGGAGATACCTGAAGGCTTTAGACTTGTTGAGCTCTCTTCCAAGGACAAGTTGATTAAACCTTGTTACACCAAGACTGTGGTTACTGCTGGCTGCTGATTCATTCAACTCTGTGATGTGCAGTCTTGGTCATGGCTCTGAAAAGCCTAAATCAGTCAGGTCCCTGCATTATAAGGCATGCTTTTCTACCATTTTGCTGTAGCAACCGCAGTTTGTAGAGTTGAGTGTCAGTCCTAAAAATCGAACTTACAAAGACCAGGAAATGTCATCAGCAGGTTGCTTCCAGGGAATTGCCAAAACAATTTAGCAATCTTCCATGCACTGCCCATCCTTGTAGGATGTCTGAAAAATCCTGTATTAGTTATTTGTAAATATATTAAATCCTAGTGCCAAGACAATAAAATGATGCACTGGATAATACCCATACCAATGTGGATAACACCTATAGAAGTGGATTAAATCCTCCTGAAGCCTAACCACAGTCAGAACTACACTGACATAGCAATTTCTCCCTGTGCTGTTCTGTCTTTCCCAGGATTCCTCAACAGCACCTTCCTGCTCAGGCTGTCAGCAGTCCAACTGGCAGCATGGTATGTGCAAAGTCACAGTGCTACATCTCACCCCTCTGGGCACCTGAAAAACAACCAAGACAGACATGTGTGCTCAGCTGTCAGCTAGAAGTATCACAGCAACTCGAGTGATGCCCAGGCAGGATGATGTAATCAGCACATTGGTTTTTCTTACCCCAGTAAACTCTACCTGTCCCCTGTGCCAAGAGCAGTCAGTATGATAGATGCTATTAGGGGAGTGATGAAAAGAATGAAACAAACCTTAAAGACATAGAAAATTTCATGTCACAAAATGACAAAGCTCTTTGGCTCTCGTGCTTCTCTTTTCCTGAGTAAGGCAGGATAACCACTTTTTTTGGGCACATTGCCTGCTCAGGATTATGCCAAAGAGAATCTCCAGCGAAGGCTTGTGACAGTCATCCTGCAGATTTTCTCTATATCTCAGCACATCTGCTCCCATCCTGACCGACTAGCCAAATTTCTTGCTGAGTTGTTACTGAGAATGATATTGCAGGCATTCCAGAAATGGAGGAGTCCAGCTTATAACACACGCTGCATTTTCACCCCCTCCTCTCTGTGTCTCCCCATGACTGCACACAGCTAGCTCAGGACCCACTAATGGAGAAAATGGCATTGGTCCTGGACAAGCCAGAAGACCCACACTCTTTTCCTTTGAACAGTGTGCAGTCAAGGTATTTCCAGCATTTTTCCATGTTTAGTACAATCTCCAAGAGAGAGGAAAGTGTCTGCACTATATCAGGTAGGAACACTCCTGATCCCTTCTGTTGCTGTTAAACAGTCACTTGGCTCTAGTTCCTTACTTTTTATGCTCAGCATAGCTCAAGGCTTCACTTTGCAGTTCTTGAAGTTTGTTCAGCTGTTTGTCATCCACAGTCTCCTCCCCTTCTGACAAGCAGCCATATATCTTTCCTTCCTTATTGAGAAAAATCCCATACTTTCCTCTCTGGCTTACAATCTTTTACTATCCATAGCAGTAATGACTTACAAGCAGGAAAATTATTCAAAGCTGAAATGTTTATGAAGTCAGAGACGGTCTGAAATTTTGGGATGATTTGAAGGAAAATTCGATTTTATATTCAACACACCTGGGAGGAATAATATTTATCCATTTTTTGCTGCATCAGAACCAACTGCAGATTTGTCCCCACCACACAAAAAAACAGGTGATGTATGGCACTATACCTCGTGATCCGTGTCAGCCCAATGGATGCCCAGGACAGTGCAATAGTTGTTCCGCAAGGGGATTTTGAGGACAGCTTTATTAATCTGCACGAGCAGAAATGGAAGTGACATTTTTCTTTCTTTGGAGATGAGGTATACTAAAGGATGTGTAGGAAGATGAGTTCACTTCACACATCACTAAAAGTGCTTTTCAAATGTTATGTGAAAGGTGTGCAAGAATCCAGAGCCGCTGTGCACACAGCAGCAACTCACACATATTTCAAGATGCTCAGTTCTGTAAGCTTTGCTACCTTGCCTGGGGTGAGTGGAAGGGAGCCTGAGACTGTTTCTCCCCCAAAAGGATGCTAGCTCTAAAAGATGGAGCTGGGAGAAGCAGAAGCTGTTTGGCACACAGGTATGTGCACGTTCTGTGCAAAGGCAGGAGAACTCAGTTCTCTGATGGGAGCTGCTGGGCTGTGGACCTTCCCTTGCTGAAGCAGGTATCTCAGAAATGCCACCTAGCCACCTGCCAGCTGAATGATGCCTGGTGCCTCTCTTCCCTCCTGTCTGCCCAGTGCTGAGCAGCTCCTTGTTTCAGCCTGGGATGGCAAGGAATGGGAGAAATTGCTTTGGAATTGTTTAATAACAGTGATGGTAACCTTTGACCTTACTGAATAGCAGCGCTTTTGACCTTTCATTTGTTAAATAATGCAACCACTTACTTCCCGATCCTTATCAGTGTTTAGTAATTGGGGTCAAGACAAAGGGGAGCAGAGTTACCCGCCCGACTTTACTGAACCAGCAAGTATTTCCTTAAGCTATAGATATTATTTTTGATAATCGTCAGTCAGGGCAGGCAAAGACTAGAGACTAGGTGGCTTGGAAGATCCATAACAGGGTAAAGAGCCTCTCAGCTGTTAGCATCTGGTTTGAATCCAGCTGTGGTTGACAGTGGCAGAAATTCATTATGATCTTGGGTTGCCCCTCTGACTCATGTGAAATGAGCCTGGCTTGCAGTTCTGCTGTTCACTGGACAATCATAGCCCTAACATAAAATACTAACCCACACTCCTAGAGAAATCAGTGATTAAATGAGTCTACAAAGCCTGAAAATTCCTATTCTACTGAGCAAATCAGGCACAGGTAGGTGGCAGCGTGGACAAAAAGTCTGTGGTCACTCCTGTATGTTCTGCCTGATTCCCGTCAAAGAGAAGGTGGTTAATCTTCAGGAATCTGAGTTGCCTTTTTGTACAGGGTAAGTAAAGCTAATGGGTCAGCTTGTGTGCTGTACAGCCCATTAAACATCTCACTTGACAAAAAATCAGGTGACAACTGTTACAGGCAGCGGTCCCAGGATCAGTGTTCTCCTTAGAAGTGAACAGGAAATAGATGAAAAAGAAAGAATTTATGACTTTACAATGGATTTAAATGCAAGTGCATGCACATATTTATTTATATAACACACATATATAAAAGCTTAAATTTCCTGAAGACGTCAAACAGAAATTCTATTTGTCTAAGCAGCTGCACAATCTCATTACTTATTTATTGTATTTTGTGTTAAGCCAGACGGCAAGATTTTTTAGGGCAGGAGCTGTTTCCTGGATGTCTGTGATTCAGCAAAATGAGCTGCCAAAGAGCAATCCAAATGCTGTAATTTATAAATAAGCCATTTATTTATAGAGGTACATGAGCTAGACAAGATCACAGAATCATGAAATGTTAAGGGATTGGAATGGACCTTCAAGCTCATCTAGTTCCAACACTCCCTGCTATGGGCAGGGGCACCTCCCACTAGACCAGGCTGCTCAAGGCCTTACCCAAACCTATCCAACACTGCCAGGGGTAGGGGATCCACAGCCTCTCTGGGCAACCTGTTCCAGTGTCTCACCATGCTCACAGTAAAGAATTTCTTCCTAATATCTAACCTAAATTTCCTTTCTTTCAGTTTGTACCTGACACTCCTTATCCTATCACTACAGTTCCAGATGAAGAGTCCCTCTCTGGCTTCCCTGTTGGTATTGGAAGGTTGCTATAAAACCTTCTCCAAGCTGAAGAGCGCAAACTTTCTCAGCCTGTCTTCTTCGGGAAGGTGCTTCAGTCCTCTTATCAATTTCGTGGCGCTCCTCAGGATCTCTAAGAGTGACATTGTAAACAGTGAGTTTCAGAAGGGGTTATTTTTCCCTGTTGTACATGTAAGAAATAAAGCAAATGGACCCCTTTGATGTATCCTGGTGAAAGTGCAATACAATTGTACGCCCGCCTGATTTTGGACTTGGATTTAGGCCTCCTGAAACTGGGAACACAGCGCAGGCAGACACCCATAGGCGCATCCCTGCTGGGATGCTGCTCTCCAGCGTCTCTGTGTCCCGGGCGGGGCGGGCTGAGTCCGGCGCCGCCCGCCTCGTCCGTGGCAGCGGCGGCGGAAGCGCGGGGTGACCCCGGCCGGGCCGCGGTCTCCCGGCAACGCGGACGCGGAGCCCATGGAGGCGCTGTCGCTGCCCGCGGCGCTGTCGCTGGTGGCGGGCGGCGGCGCGGGGCTCAGCCCGGAGCTGCGGGCGGCGCTGGGCGCCTCGCTGCCGCTGCTGCAGCGCGACTACCGCTTCGAGCGGGTCTGGTTCTGGGGCTGCATCCAGGGCGTGCGCGGCGCCTACTACATCGCCCAGGGGCTGGGCCCCGACCGCGCCGCGCCCCGCAGCCGCCTGTACAGGTGCGGGGGTCGGGACCGGGGAGAGGGGCCGGCCTGGGGCCGTGAGGGTCGGGGGGTGCTGTCCGGATCCGGGGAGGGAGTCCCAGGGAATGCCCTCGGCGGCCTGGCGAAGTTGCCTCGAGAGCCCTCTTCTTTACCGGGCTCGGCCCTGAGTCGTGCTTGTCGTTGGCAGCTTGAACTGCTTAGACTGGAGCCTCCTGACGGCAGCCACCGAGGAGATGCTTGCCCTGGCTGAGGAGGTGAAGGGCCGCTTTCAGGGGGATCCTTCCTTTGAGTACAGCTTGGCTGAGATAAACCCAGAAGCTGCTGCAAGACTGGTTCAGAGTGGTAAGGAGGTAAATACAGCAAAACGGTTTCGAACTCTGTTCACTACATTTGTGCCCCTCACACTGCGCAGGTGGTGGCTTCTCCTCGCTTGTAATGAGCAGCATGAGCGTGTGGTCAGGCAAAGGATACCAAATTTCCTCTTGGTTAGAGCACAGTGCTTATAACCAAGGTTGCTTATAACCAAGTGCTTATAATACCAAGGTTGAAGTTTCAATCACTGTATGGGCTGTTCACCTAAGAGTTGAATTTGATGATCCTTATGGGTCCCTTCCAACTCAGAACATTCTCTAACTCTGTCTGTAATTCCGTGCTGTCATTGTGTAGCAACAGCTTCTTGACTGAACTCTTACTTTGGTTTTTGCTGGAGTTCAACAGGCCTCAGAAATACTAAATATGCTTTATTATGCACAACTGGTATAGATCGTCACTGCGGTTTCTGAAGTTTTAATAGTAACTGCAGGCAGCATTCTTTATAAATGAATACATAAGTCATAAGTAGGTGAATTGAGAGGGAGGAAAGAACAGATGAAGGGATGGATAGTTAGATCTCTGGTGAGTCTAAACTTTCTGCTCCTAACTGTGTTTTCTGTCCTATGTGATGAAATGTCTTTTGAGGTCCTCTTAGTGCCATGGGACTCCAAGATGATACGTCTATTGTGTCACCTCAAGTTTATTTTCAGAAATGAAAACAAGGAAAGCCCTGCCTTTAAGATTTCCCTATTTTTCTTTAAAGCCTGTGATGAAGGAGGAGGCCCGCCTCATAGCTACCATAGAACAGATAGACAGAGCAGTTGGCATCGTCCCCCGGGGGGCATTTGTGAAGACTCCTCTTGGGTCTGTGCATGAAAACAGACACTTTGAAGGTAAATTCTTGATTGTCTTTATCAGGATCAACTGTACTTTGATCATAAAGGCTGTAAACTAAGATGACTTTCTCTAACTGATGCTTTGATTTCAGTTGTGTTTTTTTCCCCGTGGATAAGACGAACAGGGAGGAGAAAATCCAATGCCACTAATGTTCAGGTGTATGAAGGTGGGAAAAGAGTCAGTAATAGTTCTGAGTCATTAAACTGAGTAATTTTTCTGTATAAGCTGTAGTTCGTGGCAGTGTTTAGCAATTGCAGAAGTAGTGAATTGTCCATTTAGATACAGGATATGACCAAATGGGCACAGAAAGTTGTCCTCAAGTCGGTACCCATTGTTTTATCTGGAGCTGCAGTCAGTATGGTCTCCAATGCATCAGGGAGTGCTGACCCCGGTTTCTGACAAGCCTTCTGTGGAGTCTATTAGAGAAAGATTGTGATTCTGTTCTGGGCTGTGGGCATTAGAGAAACAGTGTTATACTTGATAGTATAATGTGTGTTATCCTGGTTCATTCGTGTATGTAGTAATGTTCACCAATGGTTGTTCACAGGTCTGTCTTTGGTGGAGGCAAAAAAGTTAAGTTCCTATTTCCATTTCACTGAGCCGACTAACCTGAAGAATAAAACCCTGCTGGAAAAGGCTGACCTGGACCCTTCCACCGACTTTCTAAATTCTCTGGAGCATGATATCCCACAAGGCAAAGGTAGTAAAATCAACAGATGCAATGAGAGGGAGGGCAATAGGGATGTTGAGTAGCCTTGGAAACACAGGGGACTGGTGTGGGTTACTGTAGAGGTGGTATGAGAAGCTTCTGTGACTCTGTAAAGGAACTTTATCCTTTACTAAATATTGTCATTACTTCCTGTTTTAAGCAATTCTAAATGCTTAAAATGGAAAGATGTAAGTGTACCAGGGCTGTCACATCCTCTCAACAGGTCTGACCACACTCTGCCTCTGCCGTATTCCCTCCTGACTTCTGTAAAGCCTGTGACAACTGGTGACCCTATTGGGAGAGATAACTCCACGAGTGATAGAGAGAATTTATGTGGTTTGAAGTATTTCACACCTCTTGTTCCACCCAGTATTTCTCTTCTTTATCTAAATGGGCTCTCATTAACACCAAGCTGATATCTCAAAGAGGGTGAATTCAAATGTTCCATGGATAAACTTTGTTGGAATAGTCTGCACTGTGGCAGAATTATACACCGTGAAAGGAGAAAAAAAAAACCAGGCATACTGGATTGTATCTTCAATTTACATCTCTGCTGTTCTGCTGGACAACTGCAAATATATTTAAAGTCTCTTCCAGGAATCCCTCTGGCAAGATATTTCTCTAAAGAAATGGGAGCGGCTTGTTATTTGTTTCTGTCTGGCTTTGCTGATTTGCTGCAATTTTTTGGATTGGACTGAGTGTTTTCATGTCCTCTGTTGAGGGAGATTCTAGGGAAACAATTCAAACTTAGATTTTTTTATTTTATTCCTGTCGAGGTGTAGTAGGATAGGATACTAGGTGACTGTGTCAGATGGAATTGAGTGGATGGACAGTGAATTGCCTGTGTTGCAAATAGCTTTTGAGATTCTCCCTCCCTCCCATCCTCTCTCTTCTTACCCTCTCCTCCCAACCGTCCCTTTGCCAAAAAAAAAAAAAAAGAACTGGGAATCTGAGGTCCTGCCTGAATTCTGAACATTTTTGACAGAGCATAAACTGCTAAAATCTAAACCGCTCTTCAACTTACTGGGAGTGTCCTTATGCAGCCATTTTCCAGAGATGTAGTCTGGACAGACTGCACATTTTTACATACACTGGCTCATTGAGGTGGCCCTTTTGACTCAAAGCAGAATTGCAAGAGGAATTAGATCCTAGATAGCTCCTAAGAAAATTTTAGCTGCAGTTTTGTATGGTAGTTCAGGTTTTGCTACTGTTTGCCTTCCCACTGCTCCCTCCTCTTTTTCCCTCCCTCCCTCCCTCGTGGTAGGGAGACACACCACGTGTTAGACATGAAGATGGTGGCTTTGTTAAAGTCTTCAAATCAAATTAGTCTTGTAGCTGTATTTTACCTGGTAGCAGATAGAAAGTAGGGCTCAACTGTGCCACTGTTGTGATGGTGTTCCTGTGGCAGATTGATGTCTGTGTAAGCATGAACCTTTAGCCCCTTCCTGAGTGGATGTTGCTGTTAGCGTAGATTTCAGTATCCTTGAAAAAGTTGCCTTTGAAAGACTACCTGAGTTAAAGTGCAGCTGAGGCAAGAGAAGATTTTTCATGGTGCCTGTGCAGCTCTGCTTGCTTTGTCCTGAATTGGGGGATAAGGTGAAGGAGGCGAGAGAGCTAAGACAGGAATTGGTTACAGGATCATCAAGGCATGTAGCCTCTCTAATGGCATTTATCACATGCAGATGGGAGCTCTGACATTAAAGAAAGATCAACCCAGCCTCGTTTAACAAGCATTCAGTTTGCCTAAAAGTACTGGTTGCTTGTGAAAATGGGGTGGGGGGAACCAGGACACACACAGGCATTCTGCTGATTTTATCAGCATGGCTTTGCCAGATTCGCTCCTGGTTGTGAGATACTCAAAGTCTGGTTCTCAGATTACTTTCCTTGAGCTCTGACAGTGCATGTTGGTCCTGACAGAGACGAAAAAGTAGACAGTGCTTTCTCTATTTTCTGACATGTTCATCACTCTAGCAAATCCCCTCATTTTGACCTGAAGTTTTTCTTGCCTTTCCTGGTTAGATCCTGTCTTGAACAGTTACTGTCAGAGCAGAAGTAGGAATTCTCAAATTTATTGCCTCTAGAATTATGACTGAAGCTAGATTTATCTCTTTTCTCAATAAATACATAAGAAGTGATTTGGGAGTAAGCGACATTGGAGTGACGCTCCCAGCCTGCATTGGCTAAATTCCCCTAGCATCTTAAAAGACCTAAAGAACAGAACTGAGAGATTAAGGGCTGATTTTAACATGTCTAAAAGTAACAACTCTGTTGGAATAGTTTTCTCTATTAATTGGAGACTTAGCATCTGTGATGGCTGTCAAGGGGGTAACTGTCATAAGATATATGGTGTGTCATTATAGGAGAGCAGAGGTGTCTTACAGAATGGAAAGTTGGAGGCAGAGAGAACATTTTATATGACAGCTGAGAGGTGGGAAGAAAGGAAATTAAAATTGGTTGAATAAAGGCAACAATGGTAAAAGCAGAGTTTAGTGCAAAATTGGAGAACCTGGAGTTTTGTAACAAAACTGTCTGCCATTCTTATCTTTACCAGTGATATCTGTGGTGTTTGCAGGTTCCAGATTCTGTCTGTGTGTCTATCAGGTTATCTGTGTACTTTAAAAGTTCAGAATATGTTTCTGCTCCTCCTTTAATCATTCTGTATTTTTTTTCTTGGTGTCTCAGCTCCCACAGACAAGTGACTGACTTAGCTTTTTTTTTTTTTAATGCATATTTAAAAATTATTCTAGAGAAAAGTGGGAAATGAGAACCTTGTCTCAATGGCATGAACATGGAGGGGTTGTGATACAGATCTTCTGTCACCACAGTATCAGATCATGTAATGCTTAATCCTCATCCAAATGGCCAGCTGGCCAGAACGTTGCATGCTGGGATCTGTAGGTTTTGCTGGCCATATGTCTGCATTAAAGATAAGCTTATTTGCTCTAGTCTAAGCAGACAATCTGCTCAACTTTATGCAAAATTAGATGTGGCCTTTCAGCTGCTGGCACATTGCCAGAGCTGTCCTTTCTGCTGCATGGAGTTTGGAACACTGGACATAGTATTTCAGGAACTAGGGCTGTGGCAGTTTTACATCTGCTTGTAGATAATGGAATGGCAAAGCAAATAGCAATAATTCCTAGCATGCCTGTGGCATTTTCACTTGATGACTTAATGTTGTGAAGATATGAAATAATAGACATATTTCAGGCATTGATAATAATGGGGCAAGTGAAAATGGAGGGGGAAGGTTGATCTCCGTGTGACCCTGGTATCAGATCAGACTGTGCCCCATTCTGCAAGGATAAAGAAAGTGGATGAGTGAAAGCCTGAGGTAGGAGTGTAGAATGGAAAGCTTGGAAGGAAGTGAGACAAGGGATGGAGAATTCAGGTCTTTGGCACTTTCAAACTGCAATTCAGAAAAGCAATAACTTGACTCTGAGGGTTTGTTACAGATTACTGAATCAGATCACTTTGATATGGAGATAAGGGACACCAACAGAACACTGATAAAAACTGATGTAGGCGGGGAGGTATGTCTAGATAGGAAAAGATATGAGTGGAAATGGGCTTTACATGAGAAGACTTTCTTCAAAAGTCATGACCCCCAGTTAGTGAATAGCTGCTTTTGGCTGAAAACCTACTACAGTTCACTTGGAGATTAAGAGTAGAAATTATAATAAAAAAGACATATAAAAGGAAATGCAGAAGGTTTGGAATGATTAATGATTGATATAAATTGGAATTTATAATGAATAGAGAACGACAAAGGGAGCCAGAATAACTAGAGTAGTCCGTGACAATAGTAAGGCAGATATTTTTTTAAACTATATTGAGAAGAAAAGAAAGCATAGTAAAGGTACTGGAAACTGTCACTAAATGGTGATGGTAAAAAGACTGATGAGCATGTGGAAGGGCAGAAAAGCTCGATTTTTTTCTGTTTTCTTTTTGGAAAGAATATGGACTTTTATCAAGCAAAGACAATTAAATACTGTTTCAGACAGTTTTCAGACTGTTTGCTAAGGGAGGGTAGAGTTAAACAACATTTACTGTGGATCAAAAGCATTAAAATGGCAGAGTCAGATCAGTTACTTCTGAAATCATTATCTCAGGAAACTTGCGGCATAATAATCTTTAATAAATCCTGGCATTGCAGAATTATTCCCCTAAATTGAATCTTCCTTAGCAGCTGTGATTCAGAATTCAGTGAATGGGTGTTTCTGGGAGAGGTCAGAAAGGGACCAGTGCCAATATTTATATCCTTCAACTTATTTATAAATGATCTAAAAGTAAAGGGTTGGTGGAAAGACAAATAATGGCAAGGCAGGATGGATACAGGCATCTGGAAAACTGGGCTTACTTAAATACAGTACATTTTGGTGTGCATACCTGCAAAGTCACATGAGGCAAGTAAGGACTGAAAGTCAGAATTTGGGAATTGTATTCTGGAAACTGTGGCTCTGAAAGGAAATCCAGGCACAACCCACTGAACATCAGCTCCCAGGCTGATCCTGAGACTTAAAAGGGTAACTTGATCTGCAGATACATAAACAAGGGTGTAGCAACTAGGAACAGGGGGGTGACTTTACTTTTGCATATACTGTTAGTGGAATCATAACTGGATTACTGCACATTGAAAGACTAGAAAGAGTCACAAAACAATCCAAGGGCTGGTGAGAGACATAAATAGTTCAATCTGTTTATCTTGAGGAAAAGCGTGTGAGAATGGCTGTGTTACACTGTGTAAATACTCTGTGGAGTTTAAGTATTAGGTACTGAAGATCTATTTATTATACCAGAGAAAGGCATAACAGGAATCAGCAGCTAAAAATTATATCCAGAACTAAAATGAACAATGATATACAGTTTCTAAGAGTGAAAAGATTACCAGTTAGCAAGGGTAATGGATGAGCCTATGTCTCTTGGTATCTTAACATCACGCTGGATGTCTTCCTGGAAATTGTGTTTCAGTTAAATGCAAATACACGTTGATA